CACACACACACACACACACACACACACACACACACACACACACACACACACACACACACACAATGCAGCGAACATGATAATGCGCACACACACAAACAGAGCCATACACGTGCACCCGTACGCTAAAAGGAAAAAGCGGGGAAAGAGAGAGTGAGGGACGACAGAGGAGTGTGAGGGAGGAAAGAAGGAAGAGAGGGAAGAGGGAAGAGAGGGAAGAGAGGGAAGAGAGGGAAGAGAGGGAAGAGAGAGAAGAGAGGAGGAAGAGAGGAGGAAGAGAGGGAAGCGAAAGCGATGAGAGGGAGAGAAAGCGAGAAAGAGAAAGGGGAAGCGGGAGGGAGTTCCAAGGAGTAGGATGCGAAGACATACGAAGGGGGAACACAAGCACCGTGTTGTTCGCATCCGCCTCCATAGCTTCCTTTACTACACGGCTAACGTTGGTGTTCATGGCCTCGGCTATAGAGTCCGCTGTGTCTCCCTCTTGTCTGCCGTATGTAACATAGGTACTATTGGTAGCATTTGCCATACAGCCGCAAGGAATAGGCACTGTCAGCTGCTCGTCAGGAGAGATATTGTCAGCGCTTTCCAGCTTACTGGCCTCCTGAATCTTCGGCCACGTCGTCAGGTTCTGGTAATACGTCGCGATCTTGCTCAGAGAGTCTCCCGATTTGACGGTGTAGTTCACCAAGGACAGATAGGTACCATTGACACATGAACAGTTCACAGGAATGAACCACTCTTTCTCAGGGTCACCCGGATCAGTAACAGAATCGTTTATCCTTCCGAACAATGCCTCGATCGTCGACACATTACGGTTTGATTGTGGATGGAAAACGACAAGAGATTGGCAGCTGCCAGCTCCGGAGGTGCAACTTAGCCGTGCCGAAGCCGCGTCGAAGCCAACACACAGGAGACCTACGAAGATGAAGACGAAGATCATCATAGCTGCCTCGTTTCTCTGGCCACGCGGCGCAAGGACATGTACCCTCGCCATATCCACGTCCTCCCCGCGATGCCGCCTTCCGATCTAGAGAAACGATCAACAGGCGGGGAAGAAAATGCGGTCGACGACCGTGCGCGCAGAGCAGAGAGGGGGGCACAGAGAACGTTTCTTCCCCGGTCGACGACCGTGCGCGCAGAGCAGAGAGGGGGGCAGAGAGAACTGTCGAGCAGAGATCAGGGAAAACGATGCCGTCAGCACGCGATGAAAATGAAAAGGATGCGCGTAATGCCGAGGGCGATCTGGAACTTCGCTCCGCCCGGGAAGCGTGGGACGTGGTTACTACCTTCCTGGGGGCCGCCAACGATTTGAATGCATCTGGACTCATATGTGTGCAGATGCAACCAAAATGTTGGCGGATAACGAGTCGTGCAACCGCTAGGCACTGATTCGCAAGCCGCTTACCGTGTCGGTTATTGGCCGGGGGCCATCAGTCCAAGACGGACATGAATATATGTTATGCATGTTTGCACCTGCGTTGCGTTCAAACACCGAAGCATCCAAATCCGCTTAGTACCCGTAAGGCTTACGCCATCGGACCAATCTGAGGGAATGCTCACACTAGGACTTTCCTAATAAATAAATGTATCTGACCGCAATGACCGCCTGACGTGGATGAATCTGAGGGCAATCATGCGGAGAGATCAGAAACAAAGGAACAAGAAGCCACGCAAGTGGAGGAGGACTCAGAGGACGATGAAGATGAGGGAAGTGACTCAGGCGCCCCGCCCTCTCACGGGTCAGCGATGGACGCCTCTGCCGGAGACATTCCGGAAGGAGTCGTCACTCCTGGACGAGGAGGGAACCCTCCTGAAGAACAGATGTTATTGCCCCTTGTTTGCCTCCATGCAATGGGCTTGCGAGATAGGAATGACAATTTGGGCCTGCACGCTGTATATCTGTTCGCAAATAAGTTGCAATTTAGGATTTTCCCCAAGTTTCATCCCTTCCCTATCCCTATACTCTTAAAAAGACTGCAAAGGGCCCAACGTGACTCCCCATGCTGGGCCCAGCGAAAATCTGTTTCGAGGGCGACGAATGGGACCCACGGCGGTGGGGAAGGGCGCCGCGGGATCGCGCCCGAATAGTTTTGGGAGGCGCAATGGGGGCCACGGGACCGCGCCTGATGTACCATTCCATGTTGCACGGGATGATTCGGTGTCATGGGGGCGGGCCGAATGGGACTGAGGGTGGTGGCGACGGGTGCCGCGGCGCATTCTGGCTGTGGAGGGTGGCGCGGGGGTGAGGGAAACGGTTGAAGAGTGCGTGCCGCTTCGACCCCGCGGTGGACTTCACGCATTTAGGCTGTGGAGGGTGGCACGCGTCCGTGGGAAATAGTTGCGGGCCGCGCATTTGCATAGTGGCGGGTTTGCGTTGGGTATCGCGCGCAGGGGGGTGAAGTGCATTCGCAGTGTGGCTGGGCCGGTGTTGTTTTCCTAACTGCGTGCGCTGGGGCGGTGCGGGGCTTTGCGCATGTTTGGCGATCGAAGGCGGGGGGTGCGTGGATGTTAACGGCGGTCTTATCCCGCCATCGGTTCGTTATGCGCGGCCGGAGCTGGCTTTGCGGTGGCTGTGGAGAGTGGGCCAGCGCTGCTTTTCCGACTGCGTGCGCAGGGGGGGGGCGGGGCTTTGCGCATGTTAGGGCATCGAAGGCGGGCGATGCGCGAATGTTGACGGTGGTCTTATCGCACCGTGGTTTTGTTGTGCGCGGCTGAAGGTGGCTTTGCGGTGAAGGCGCTTTAGCACGAGCGCGGCGTGTGGCTATTTAAGCGCGCGCAGGATAGGATCGCGACTGTGCTACTCATGTGTGTGTGTGGGGGGGGGGTGGTGGGAGAGAAAGAGAGAAAAAAACCTCCTGCAAGTCGTCGCGAAGACAAACGGACAGAGAAAGAGAGAGAGGGAGAGAGAGAGAGAAAAGAGAGAGAGGGAGAGAGAGAGAGAAAAGAGAGAGAAAGAGAGAAGAGAGAGAGAGACAAAGAGAAAGAGAGAGAGAGAGAGAGAGAGAGAAAGACAGGGAGAGAGACAGAGAGAGAGAAAACAACGGTCCGACAGTTGTCTATCTGTGCGCGTGTGTGTGTGTGTGTGTGTGTGTGTGTGTGTGTGTGTGTG